TTTACTCGTGCAACAGATGTGACTGTGATGACATTGACACATACACACAGAGTACGCAGCTCACAACCACGAGGAGCCAAGTTCAATTCCCAGTCGGGAATCGATTTTGCCCATCATCCTTTCCGGGGTCATCAAACCGAGTACCACTTTGAGGGAAGTCAACTGCTGGTTGTCCAGTGGACTCGCTCGTCCAGTGTACAACTTGCTTTGCCTCCTTTGTACCGCTGTTGCCACCAGTCGCAACTTACCAGTCGCTTATCGAATGCACCTTGTGTTAAAACGATTCTTAATCCCTAAAAGCAGCAATGAGCTCGATTTGCATGGCCGGTGGGACCCGACCCAGCCCAGCCCGGGGCTGGTACGGGGCTAGGCCGACGTACCCAGGAACCCACGATGGCCGTGCCAGGCCAAACCGGTCCCACGGGTCCATTCTTGACCCATGCTACAGGGGGTCAAGAGCTGGGATGACCCCAGAACCCGTTGCAAGGTCACGGGGTCAGCACAGAAGCAAGACGTCACTCGCCGAGCTTAGCTTGCCGGCCGTGTTTGTGTTAAAAACACGCGGTGGAAACAATAACAAAAATAGGCCACTGGCTCCGTTAAACATTGTTTAAAATAACCTACATTTTTTTTTTAAGTTTCCCTGGGGAAGGTGGGGTGGGCCGGAGGGGGTGCAGCGCGTGGGGGGGGCCTGCTGGACCGCGGAGAGGGAGATTTGGGCTTGAGGCCCAGACCTGGGCCATTCCCAGGAGATGTGCTCATCGGCCTGGTGGGTGATGATGATCCGCTGCGGTTGATGGCTCAGCTCCTAGTGAGCAAATCCAGACGAAAGGCTGAACAACGTTTGGTTTTGACCACTTATTCTATCCCAGCTGTGTGACTGCTTGGGCCGAGTCACGAGTCCAAGGAGCGATCTGCTGGGGGGACCCCTTGGTCAGCAGCGGTCATGGAAGTGACGCGTGAGCGATGCTCACCGGACTGAATATTTGATGTCTTCATGAGCCGATCGTCACCCTCACGGACACCTTCGGAATTGCACCGATTCCGCAGAATCACAGCGCTCCAGTGAGGCTGACATCACCCACACCGACGGCACCCCCCCCACCTACCCAGCAGCCTCTGCTAACAATGAGGACCGCGTCGACAGCGTGCACCCCCAGCCCTTCCCATCCTCCGCAATCCGAGGCGGCCGTAAAAACCACCTCCCGCGGTCACCTCCATGCCCTCTGCAGAGTAACTGCCCTCGTCCGAGATGCGGAGCTTTTCCTTTCCTTTCTCCGTGCCGTAAAAATATTTTTATTGGGCCGCTTTTTGTGTTATTTCTTTTTCGTAAACCTGTTCCTCATTCTCAGATGGTCGCCACGTGCCAGAACTACGCCAAGAACAACGCCAGAATAGAAGTCTCGAGCGCGGCGCCGCGCATCTGCGGTAGAGACCGCACATATTTGCCGGGGCTTTAACGACGAGGGCCACGGCCCCCATGGAATCCACGGCCACGGTCGGTGCGGCGGCTCCCAGAGCCGGGGTTTTCACAAACACATATTCTTAGGTTTTTTTCGGTAAAGTCACATAGGTAAAAAAATTCCAATTAATAAAAGTAAAATAAAATAAAAATCACGACGTTTCGGAGGCAACACAAGCTTCGGTCTTCAGGTGGACGGAAGCTTGTGTTGCCTCCGAAACGTCGTGATTTTTATTTTATTTTTTATTTTATTTTACTTTTATTAATTTTAATTTTTTGTTACCTACGTGACTTTACCGAAAAAACCTAAGAATATGAATCCTTGCAGTCACGAAAGCTTCAAATCTAAAACACAAACACGCGTCGCACCGCTCGTGGCGACGTGTGGTGTCGCACCGCTCACGGCGGCGGCGGTTCAGAGCTCGTGTCGCGCGCGCACGACTCACGCCACAGGAGTCGTGCAGGTTATCCTGATGCGTCACACGTGTTACAAGCGTAGTCACACGTGTCACACGCATCAAATTGGGATAAGGCAACGAAGGAGGGAGACGTTACGGCCGGGACCACGAAGAATCGAATCTCGGCCATGAATCTCAGAATCACCTGCGGGGAGTGGAATTGTCACAGCTCCACGAACTGCAGTCTCGCGCAAAGCTCACCTATTCACACTCCAACCATACGTCAGAGTGCAGCCAGTCACGTTACCTGTGTACAATGATTGTGTACAATGATATCCAGCACAGCCTCGCTGAGTCTCAATCCTGCTCCCAGGAGGGTCCTGCCAAGGTTTCACAGTAGGTGGCGATGTTGCTGTTGCTGTGTATTCACAATTAACTAATTGGCATGTCAATTTTGGATGATTGGCCAATACCAGTTACATTGCGTGTGCGTGTTTAGCTATGGGGAGGAACTCGGAGCACACGGAAGAAACCAATGTAGAACAGGAGACGAGAGCATGCAAACTCCACGCAGAAAGGTGCCCGAGTCAGAAATGAAACCCAGACCCTACTTGCTTGTGAGGCTTCAGCCCTGACGCGCCAGTACGCTCGCGCGAGCGTACAGCCGTTGAGAGACGCTGCTAACACCTTCACCCTCTCCTCCTATTCACGAAGGAGCCCGCGGCATAGCCGTGGCCACACGTGGTGTTGGCCTATTTTTTTTCTCACGCGCACGGCATGAGCACTCACGTTTAATTTAATTATTTCTGGGGGCTTGATTTGCGTTCATTAAAACCCTGAATGTCAACTCACGATTCCTAATGGCGCGGGTTCTCTCCCAGCCGAGCCGTGCGTTCGAGACATCGCCGCCAGTCTGCGTGATTGCGGCGCGTGGGGCTGGCGGGGGGGGGGCGGCGATGGACCGGCTCGCGCGCTGGCCCTGTGGCCCCGAGGGGACAGGTTCAGCTCCTCCTCTGCTAGCCGTGCGCACGGTGGCAGCAGCAGCAGCGACCACGTGTCCAGGAGCTCGATGCCAATGTCGAGGTCTGCTGCTGACCACCACGAGAGGGCTTCTAGAGAGAGAGAGAGTTCGTGTCTTCTTGGTTCTTTCGGTAAAGTCACGTAGAAGGGAAGTAAAAAAAAACATAATAAAATAATTCTCACGACGTTTCGGCCACAACGCAAGCAGCCGTCCTCAGGTGAAGACCAGGTCTGTCGGGGAGACAGCGTTTGAATGTCTCCCCGACAGACCTGGTCTTCAGCTGAGGACGGCTGCTTGCGTTGTGGCCGAAACGTCGTGAGAATGATTTTATTATGTTTAATTTTTATTATTTTATTACTTCCCTTCTACGTGACTTTACCGAAAGAACCAAGAAGATGAATCCCTGCAGTCACGAAAGCTTTAAATCGAAAAGAGTTCGTGTCGTTTTGCTGTTCCTGCTCCTCTGATGAAGGAGCGCGGACCAGTGGTTTATTACGCGTCCTCCCAGAGTTTGGGTTGCATGGCCACAATCGCAATGCCGTGGCCTGTGTTTATTATATATCTGTGAGTCTCAATATATTTCTCTGATTCTCTATATCTCTCTTAGTCTCTATGTGTGTCTATGTGTTTACTATGTGATCCATAACTTGGGTCGAATGGCCACAATTGCACGACCGCTGTCTTTAATTTCCCATTCATGACCGTGGAGATTTGGACCCCACTTCTCTCTCTGGGCCAGCACCTGGGCCATTCCCAGGAGATGTGCACATCGGCCTGGTGGTGAAGATCCGATGCGGATGATGGTTCAGCTCCTGGTCAATTCAGACGAAAAGCTGAACAACGTTTTGGTTTTGACCGCTTGTTACATCCCAGCTGTGTGACCGCTGGGTTCGAGTCACGAGCTCAAGGAGCGATCTCCTGGGGGGAGCCCTCAGTAAGCAGAGCCGCCCGCAAGACGACGCCAGAGAGAGGCTCCTCGAGTCTCTGCAATGGCCTCCCTCGCCCCCCATTAGGGGGCGCTCCATCCCGCTCGGTACAGGGCGGGTCGTCGCCACGGCGACCATTCCTCCAGCGTCTGCATCTCTGTTTAACGTCGAGGGCGGTGCGTGGCCGCACGTAACACGACGCTCGTTTCACGCGAAAGATTTTGTTGTTGTTGCAATCATCATTAGCTGGACTGCATTTCAGAAACTACATCGACCTTAAATTTATTCCACTCAAATAGCACAAGAGCTCAAAATAACCGAGACTACATCCGTCAACGCGTTCAACATTTGGTAGCCGACCTTTGCAGCCACCCCGACCGAGCATGCTTGCCTCCAAAAACGCGATGAAATTTAAACAGGGGCCTTGCTTTGAATTGAGCGACACAAAACACCACCGACCGTGGGTAGATTAATGGCTCGGGCGCATCGCCAACTTGGATTTATTGAACTTCCTCCCACCTCCCCCCCCACGCTCGCTTCGCCACTCACACCGAGCCTGGGTCCTTGACCACACAGAGCCACGCCGCACGGAGACTCCCACAGCCCCGAGTGGTCCCAGCGTCAGCGCCGGAGACCCGTCGTGAGTATCGCCGCGTGCACAGCCCCATCCCAGACACAACAACAACAACAACGTAGCCGAGTCAAGTGGCCCTGAGCCAAGAGTGGAAATTCCACATTCCCATGACTGGGGATGGTTTCATCCACACAAACGAGCACTGTCAACGTACCACAAAGGGGTGATTATTTTATCAACCCCGGAAGGTTGATGGTTGGAGTCGATCTCAGTTCGGCATTTGAACTCGCAACCAATACATCTCTAACCACTCGGCTGAGTGATGAGTTCTAGGTCTGGACTAAGCTGAGCTCTGGGCACGTGCCCAGTTGCATAAAGCACTTGTCGTGACTATTCTCCACAACGCGCGTTACTTTAAGCGGCGCAGGGTTTAGGAGCAGACAGAGGCACAAATGAAAGCGCCGAGGCCTGGCTGGCACAAACCGTCACGATCTCGCCGGGCAGAGCCGAGTTTCCCCGAGCGGGACTCCAACCCCCAAGCGAGTGGACGTCGTGGCAACGGTGCCGCGCGACCGCATTTCACGCCGGAGGCGTGCGACCGGGGCGTCTCGCCGCTTACCCACGTATCCCGGCGTGCCGCACGCCGTGGACATGACGTCGCCGCCGATCTGGATCTTGGAGAGGCCGAAGTCGCTGATCATGATCTTGGAGTCGGGATCGGGGCTGTCGTACAGCAGGTTCTCCGGCTGCGGACGGACGGCAGAGACGCACGCGGATTGGCAGACGCTTTGGTTTGGCCCAGCACCCCGCTAGCGCCGGCCCGGACAAATCTGACAAGCGGTGAAGCGTCCGACACATCGCGCCCATCCGGGACAAAGATTGCCTTCACGATTCGACAAATTATTTCACGAATAAGAAACCACATGTCCGTGGTTTTTTTCGAAAATATTTTCGACCGTGCTCATCTCCCCGTCTACAACCCTGCAGAGAGACAGCGGTGTAAATTCCACATTCCTATGGTGGGGCTGAGTCTACACGTAGTAATGCAACCACCGTTGACTCCCCCGTGACATGGTTCAAATCCCCAACTGAGACATGAACCGGGAATTGAACTGATAACCTTGGGATTGCGAGCCGCTGGTGGTGTGTAACCAAATTACAGTTACTTTGATTACTTTCTACAGTGGCTTAAGTATGTCGTGTTTAAATATATATTTACGTTTATATTAAAATATACATGTTGATGCCGTCCCAAAATTCTGATTCTCCGATTGTGCTATGGGCGTCATCGGTCAGGCGACGAAGAACTTTCCGCGAGGAAACCCCGCAGCGAGCAGCGCACGTGACCCCGTGGCCGGAGAACGGCCGAGGCAGGCGACGCCATGGGACCACTGCCGAGGGCATCTCACAATGGGCCCGTGAGGCCCACGGCCGGGGCCCAGCAAGTTCCCACTCCGTCGTGTCGCCGGCCCTGACGCTCCTCTCCGCTGGTCCCTGGTGGAGGTGACCCCCCCCCGCCCCCCCCCCTCCGGGGTTTGAGTCCAGGTCATCGCTTCCCCATGCGTCTCTGATGTCCCTCACTCCTACCCCGTGATGTCTTTCATGTCCGTTTCCCCCTCCCTCTCGTCCCGCTTTCTTGATGTTTCGTGTGCTCGCGCTTTTGTGCTTTTCTGCACGGCACTTTGAGATTATGCCACCGCGTTCAAGCTTCTGATGAATGCAAATGAGGCCTAGATGCCCTGCCAAGATTGTGCGCGCGCAGCGACCAATCCAAAGTTTTGGCTCTCGGAGCCGTGAGCAAGTGGCAAGGACACATTCTGACAAGATGCAGCCACTCGTGACGGGCCTGGGAGCATCAACTCACTGCACTTGAGCGGCCGGTTTAATCACAGGCGGCTGAGCCCAGGTTCAAACCCGGGCGCTCGGCGGAGCCATGCTCCGACACTGGGGCTACTGGGCCATCTCCGGCTGGGTCACGTGTTTGCCTCTCCATCCCCTCGAGCACTACGCCGGCCTTGATAGGTGCTCCTCGCTAGCAGCACTTGGCTCCGGTCATTGACGCTATGCAAAGGGGATCTCTGTCTCAGAATTGTGTATGAGTTGCCTCTGCGGTTGTAAGGGTATATGTGTGTGTGTGGGGAGCGGAGGTGTAGCGGTTAGCACGCTGCGCTACGAACCCGGCGACACAAGTTCGGTCCCGCTCATGGCCAAATATCTGAATCGGTCCTGGGCCTCCCCTAGGTCGACTTAGCCTCAAATCGGTACCTAGTGCGGTGTATAAACATCGCCACTAGGGAGACAAAGGCGGCCGGGTGTGGTGCTGGCCAACCACTGCCTCGTGCACCGTGCCGGCCTTCATCGGTACTGCTACGCGCTAGCAGCAACTTGCCCCGGCAGTCTGCCGAGGGCTACACGGGGGATCTTTGTCTTTGTGTGCGTGTGTATGCGTCTGCACGTACGTGGGGATGCATGTCACATTTAAATTACAGCGCTGGAGCGGTGCGCACGCTAAGCGAGCTTATTAGAGGAACACAATGTACCGTGGGCAATGCCATATACGGTGTGTTTCTTGTAATGTTTCACCACAGCTTAATAGCACTGATCAGCGTTGGGTTATACAACCCATATGTGCACACGCGTACACACGCACGGTAATGACCTCATTTGTTTTGGTAGCAGGCCACATAATTCCAGCTCACAATTATGAGGGCTGACGGAAAGAGTCCGTGTCCTGATTTTGAGGAGTCAGAGTGAGAGGCCTTGATGAAGCTGGGTTGTGACTCTACATGGCCCCCTTGGAGTGCACTGCACTCAGTTCATCATCATCATCGTGACAATCGTCATCCTCACAATCATGATCGTCACCATCATCGTCACTATCATCGTCACCATCATCGTCACCATCATCGTCACCATCATCGTCACCATCATCGTCACCATCATCATCATCATGATCGTCATCACTGTCACCATCGTGGTCACCAGCAACGTCACCATCCCAAGGATGTAATCTCCACCCAAGAACTCCATTCGACTCGCTCCTCACTCCACTCAGGGCTCACAGCTCCGTTGCTTCATCGCCACGAGACACTCGCTCGACCCTCTCGCTCTGGAGGTGCGTGAAAGCGACCGGGAGCTGCGTCCGATGAGCGTGGAATATCTCAAGATTTCTCTGCATTCCTCAAGTTTATTTCTTTCTAGATTTGAAGCTTTCGTGACTGCAAGGATTCATATTCTTAGGTTTTTTCGGTAAAGTCACCTGAAGACGGAAGCTTGTGTTGCCTTCGAAACGTCGTGATTTGTATTATTTTATTTTACTTTTATTAATTTTAATTAAAATTTTTTACCTACGTGACTTTACCGAAAAAACCTAAGAATACGTTTATTTCTCCCAACATTCAAGTTAAAGCACAACAGAGACAATTTAAAACACCTGGCAAAACCACCTCAATCTACCGCTATGAAACGTGACAAACATTTAAACGCTTCGGTCCCTTCACGTCCATCGAGCCTACGTAGCCGGACCAGGGACGGGCACGAGCAGGCCCCAGCCTCGGTGACACTTACCGGTGTGCATCTCGCGGCACGCAGCAGCACTGGCACGTCAAACTCCGCGCGAAACGTCGACGGAACAAAACGTAGGAAGCGGCAGAGTTGCCTAAACAGCGTGCGTCACGACGCAGAAACTCTCTCCCCCTTTGTCATCAATATTCACGAGGGGATGGCGTGCGTCACGTTGACAAACGCGTGACTGCAGCTCTGTGGAAATAATTCGGTGAGCACCTGTAGCTTTGAAAAGTGGCTTTTGTTTCCTTGGATGAAAAGTCAACGCTTGCCCCAATCCGGGGCGACGACTCCAGCCGGGACGCGCCGCGCGGCGCGGTGCAGCGCCCGCGTCTCCGCCGTCGCAAGCTTGCCGGCGTGAACTCTGGCCGGTGCTCGAATCAGCCCATCGCCCCTTGGGGAGCCGGTTAAATCGGTACCACTTTGTGGGAGGTCAACAGCGGTCGTCTTATGAGGGAATGGCTTTCAGCCACGGGAACGTGGAAATGGCACCACGGGCTCGGGGTCGGGCTGGGGGCCAGCGGAACCCGACGTGGCGCGACGCAGCGACGGTCCCCGGGCAGCGCTGGGGGGGGGGGGGGGGCAGGGGGGGGGAGCGGGCTGGGTGAGGGGGTGGGGGGGTACCTTGAGGTCACGGTGGACAACGTCCATCTGGTGCAGGTAGCGCACGGCGTCCAGGACTTGCCGGATCAAGGCGCTGGCGTCCTTCTCCGTGTAGAAGCCCTTCTCCACGATGCGGTCAAACAGCTCCCCTCCGGAGACCCTGATCCCCACGCACAAAGACCCCCCCCCCGTGTAGCCTTAGCACACTGTTGGGGCAAGTGCTCTTAGCGAGCAGCAGCACATACGAAGGCCGGCACGGCACACGAGGGGGTGGGTGGCAAACACCACGTCCGGCCGCCTTCGGTCTCCCCAGTGGCGATGTTTTAACATTGATGCTCACACATTGAGGCCGAGTCGACTTAGGGGAGGCCCAGGATTTGCTCAAATAATCGTCACTGGTGTTTGCCATGAGCAGAGATCGAACTCGTGTCGCCGGGTTCGTAGCGCAGCGTAGCGCTAACCGCTGCACTGCCGCTCCCCGCACACACATACTCGCACATACAGACACACCAACACGTACTCACACATACAGACACACACATGTAATCACACATACAGACACACACACGTACTCAAACACACGTACTCACACATACATACAGACACACACACGCGTACTCACACATACAGACACACACACACGTATTCACACACACATACATACAGACACACACACACGTGCTTTTGTTTTGCTTGTTGTTCTGATCCCGTGCCCCGACTGGACATCTGTGAAAAGAGCTTTATAGCTCATCGGATTCCTCCTGCAGTGTAAATACAGATTCTGATTCTGGTTAATTAACACATCACCGCATGTATATACATATATGCTGACGCAAATACACACAGGTCTTGTGTTCAAACTAAACAACTCCATACATAAACGAAAAGATCAGGTGATAAAAATAGCACGTTTCCCTGCTGCACTTACCCCGGACGCCCTCGCATCGTCTTGAGACGATCCACCGAGCCGCTACAAAGCTGTCACTCGGGAGGATTGGACGATTCATTATTGAGTGCACGACGTCTTACAGAATCAGAATCTGTACTTATCGTGGATAAATCCGATGAGCAATGAAGCCCTTTCTCACAGCTGCCCAGTACGGGGCAGGTCAAAAAGTGACCACAACAAAGGTAAGGTGAGCAAAGTGACACAAAAAATGTACCGCGGGGACGAAACCAGAATTCTCGGAGAGAACACCCGGAGACAAACGAAGGGGATGTTCAAAATATCGCTCAGGAGAATCGCGGCCACAGCCGAGGAGACACCGCCAAATCGGCCTCAGGAGGTCCGGCATCGTGGACGGTGCTGCCACCCGTACTCGCTTCAGGCCAACCGATCTTCATGTCACTGCTGCTCAGATCTCTGAGGTTTAGGCCACAGCATCTGCAGTGCGAAGCGATCCCAAGCCCCATCGCAGTTCTCCCAGCCACAGGTGACAACAAGTATAACCCGTAAAAACAAAGTTTTTCACTATAAATCCTTTATATGCGTGGCGGCTAGAGTCCTCTCGTCCTCTGGCTTGAGATGGCTGCCACCTATGGGTCAGATGATTGCATTGCACCAGTTAAGCAATTGGTAATTAAATATTATATTTTTGTCCTAAAAAGTGTAAAATTTTGCAAAAAAAATTTCACGAAAATTTATTGTCACGCACAACGAGTCTGTGTGGAAAATGTCAGCTCAATTGGATCACGGGAAGTGGGTTAAAAAACGACCGAAAGATTTGCATGGTCGTTAGCAAGCAAGCAAGCAAGTGAACTTAATATAAAGGATTTAAAAAGGCTTCCCCGGTCGGTCAAACGCCGCTCACGGCGTTTGACCGACCGTGCGGGTTCCCCGGCCTTGCCGCGTCCGCTCCGCGGCGTTTGAAGAGACGCGCCTTGTTTGATGGAGGTGGCGTTTGATGGAAAGGGCTGACGCAGCCGTGAACAGCGGAGCCCCTGGGCCCCCGCGCCTCCCGTGAAATTAGAACGCCGGCTGCCCCCTTATTAAAAACAAATATTATTGCGAGTAACAAATTACCGACTCGAATAACCCAAACAACCTTGAGTTCACAAAGTCGAGAGTCAATAGTGCCTCCCTGCTCCAGCGAGCACTGGGCCGTGCTCATCATCAAATACTAATTACCTAGTGCGATGTTTAAACATCACTACTAGGGAGACAAAGGCGGCCGGGCGTGGTATTCGCCACCCACCTTCTCGTGTGCCCACTTAATAGGTGGTACTGACTAACAACGCTTGCCCCAACAGGCTGTGTGTGTGCGTGCTGTTGGTGCTTCTCCCTGCGCCAAAACCGAATTCATCGCAGGAGCCGTGGGCTGCCAGCTGCACCGAGTGGCCTTCACCTTTAACCTCTGCATTGTAATCACCCCGACAGACGAACACGCTCGCACACACAAGCGTCTCCATCGAGCATCGCTGAGGCTGCAGGAGCAAGTGTCCCTCTTGAGTCCCGGCACAGAGCGCAAGGGAGGTGGCTCAAGAACAATCCGAATCATGGAGCGAAGCGAGCCGCTGTGGTCCACCGATGCGATCTGCAGTCATTTCACAGCAGCGGGCGATGTTGCTGCTGCTGCTGCGAGTGATTTCAAATCGAGTAAACTGCGGGGTTATTTTCTTGCTGTTGTTGCAAATTAGGCGAATTGCACCGTGACTTCGGCACTCAATAGCCTCAGCAGTGCCGGATGAAGCTGGTGTAGGGCCTGTAGCATATGTTATAAAGGGGCCCTACATAAAAAAAAAACACGTAAATATTAAAACACAAATGTTTAACTTGCATAGTAAAGTAATTGTATTTTTTCATTTGCTATGCAGCCAGATACTACGACAAATCGCTACCCTTAAACACCCAGTCGTTACTGTAGTAATAGAGCAAGTGCAGAATCACTGAACCGGAATTGATAGCTTTAAAGCATTTAGCGCGGGGCCCTTGAAAGTGCGGGGCCCGTAGCTACTACTACACGTGTGGCAGCTACACGTGTAGTAGTAGCTACTGCACGTGTTGTAGCTACTGCACAATAGACAGCAGGGAATCGGAAATATCCAGGGCGGCCTGCCGGAGTGGAACCGCGAAGCTCCGCGCCGAGGGCGTCGGTTTGAAAGACGACCCCGGGGATGAGCTGCCGCCCGGTCGCGTGCGCATTCCCGTCTCGCCGCTGATGGAAAATCTGCAGCAGCTCGTCTTGCGAGTGTGCTTCCAGATTCAAGGCCTTGCTTCGTGTGTCATGAATCACCCGTCGGGATAGCCGCGTAACGCGCCGACCGCTGAACTGCGAGCAAACAGAAGTAACTCGTCGCCAGCCAAATCATCCAATGCATTTTTCACTCCCAAGATCCATCCATTGCCGGATTATCCGAGTAGCTACACACGCTACGGGCCCCGCACTTTCAAGGGCCCCGCGCTAAATGCTTTCAAGCTATCAATTGCGGTTCAGTGATTCTGCACTTGCCCTATTACTATAGTACTATACCGCCTTCAACTTTTACGAACGACTGGGTGTCTAAGGTTAGCGATTTGTTGTATTATCTGGCTGTATAGCAAATGACAAAATACAATTACTTTACTATGCAAGTAAAAAAAGTATGTTTTTAATATTTACGTGTTTTTTATTTAGGGCCCCTTCATAACAACATATGCTACAGTCCCCGCACGAGCTTAATCCGGCACTGCCATCCGTCCATCACCCACTGCTTGTTTTTTTTCTTCTCCCGAAATAACCCCCATCACATTTCCCTCTGAAGCCAGGAGCCGTAAACCTTGCAGACGCCACGCAGCCCTGGGGTCGCAAGCAAAGCGCTCGAAGGCAACGGCTGCCGTCTCTCCTCGCATCGCTCCTCGCATCTGACTCCCAATATAGAGACTCGTCCCACTGCGACTCGTTCGTTACTTGACAGCCAATCCTCTGTGTGTGTCTCCGTGTTTTTGTCGCCACCATAGCATGGTGAGAGGTGATCCGCTCGGAGGCTCCCGCTGGGCAGGTTCACAGAGCGGGTCCCACAAATGACTTCACAACAACAACAACAGAAACTCCGCGCTGCTTACAAAAAGTCCCTTTCAGCAGCCTCTCATGCGTACCTGGCGCTGACCGATGTTTTGTTTACAAGCCCAACAAACAAAAGGGTTCATCACGTGGCAAACTGTGTTTTTTTATACTCCTCAGAGCTGGAATTTGGAGCAAATTTTATGTGATCTGATTTAGTAACCAGCGGTGAGAAGCCCAAGGCCATGAGTCACCACACTCCCCCGCTCTCACCAGGGTCGGCTTCCGGGGATTTGAACCCAGCAACGCCACAGTGTCGGCTCTGGGTCACGGCCATGATGAGCCGCCCGAGCCGCCCTGGGTCGCGATCACGGCGCTGGGTCATGATCATGGACACGTCCCTGGGTCGCCTTCTCCGTGAACCACGTGGTCACCGTGGCAGTGGCGGTGACGAGGATGAGGAGCCGGGCCGCAGGGTCGCGTGGCTGCGAGGGGACGCGGCGTCTCCGCTACGTCCGGACCACACGCGCGGCGCGATCCCATCGCATGTGGACACAGAGCATTCTAACGCAACGCAAACAAATACGAGTGGCTTAGAGAAATAAATACCCGCAAATAAGTCAATAAACACACGAGGCCAAGCACTCGCAACGGAGAGACGCCGTCCACGAAGCAAGGATAAGATCATCCCGAGCCCACAAGTCTCTCTGCTCGAAAACGAGCGCTGGGAATCGCTCATCTCATCAGGCAGCCTCAAGCCAGCGGTGGAAATTCCACATTGTCATGGCAGGAGCAAGCCTCTCGATGTGACGGCCACTATGGACCCCCCCATTCTGGGATTACTGGCTAATTTCAGCCCTCACGAGAGGGCCTTCGACATCAACCGCGACCCGACCGGCTCCGCACTGCAACAAGAGGGAAGCCCATCCCGCAGGCGCGGTGAATCTTGTATCCATCTGTGTTGCACTTTTCAATGAACACGTGACAACCATGCCAACCGTGCCCATCGGAGGCGCGAACCTTCATGGCACGTGCACGGCAACCACGTGCGCGGCACGGGACCCACGCGCAGGAATGTGTCCGTGGAGTCCGCCGAGCTGCAGAGAGACACCACGGCCAGCCACCTGGCCTCGCTCATCCCATCCCATCGTAGGATTTGGGCGTTTGTTTTGGGGTGGCG